AATCCCCCACCCTTAGTTCATGTCCATGGGTCATGCATATAAGTTCTCTGGCTTCTCCATTTCCTATGGTGTTCTTAACACCCCTCTCTCTAATTTGTACCTACCAATGTGTACTACTTAATCCCTGCACCTTTTCTCCCTTCCCCCTTCCAGCTGATAACCCTCCAAATGATCTCCCAATCTATGATTCTGTTTCTGTTTTCCTTGTTGGCTTAGTGTGTTTTTTGATTTAATTGTTGATTGTTGTGAATTTATTGTCATTTTAAAATTCTAAGTTTTGATATACTTCTTTTTCTTTTATTTTTCCAACTTCTCCCTTTATTTCCCCTCCGCTCTGCACCCCCCAGTCCTCTAGCATTCCCCCTGCCTTAGTTCCTGTTCATGAGTTGTACATATAAGTTCTTTGTCTTCTGTTTCCTATACCATTGTTAATGTCTCCCCATTTATTTTATGCCTACCAATTATGCTTCTTATTCCCTGCACCTCCCCCCCATTCTTCCCCTCCTCCCCCTCCCCACTGAAAATCCTCCATGTGATATTCATTTCTCTGATTCTCTTCCTGTTCTAGTTGTTTGCTTAGTTTTTGTTTTCCTTGTTTTTTTTATTAGGTTAAGTTGTTGATAGTTGTCAGTTTATTGTCATTTTACTGCTCATAGTTTTTGATCTTCTTCAATTTCTTAGATAAGTCCCTTTAACATTTCATAAAATAAGGGCTTGGTGATGATGAACTCCTTTCACTTGACCTTATCTGAGAAGCACTTTATCTGCCCTTCCATTCTAAATGAAAGCTTTGCTGGGTAGAGTAATCTGGGATATAGGTCCTTGTCTTTCATGACTTTGAATACTTCTTTCCAGCCCCTTCTTGCCTGCAAGGTTTCTTTTGAGAAATCAGCGGATAGGCTTATGGGAACTCCTTTGTAGGTAACTCTCTCCTTTCCTCTTGCTGCTTTTAAGATTTTCTATCTTTAATCTTGGGTAACTTAACGATGATGTGCCTTGTTGTGTTCCTCTTCAGGTCCAGCTTCTTTGGGATTCTCTGGGCTTCCTGGACTTTCTGGAACTCTATTTCCTTTGCCCGATGGGGGAAGTTCTCCTTCATTAACTGTTCAGATAAGTTTTCAATTTGTTGGTCTTGTTCTTGTACTTCTGGTACCCGTGTAATTCTGATATTGGAACATTTAAAGTTGTCCCAGAGGTTCCTACTCCTCTCACCATTTTTTGAACTCTTGTTTCTTCATTTTGTTTCAGTTGGATGTTTATTTCTTCCTTTTGTTCCAAATCATTGATTTGAGTCCTGGTTTCCTTCCTGTCACCGTTGGTTCCCTGAATATTTTGCTTTATTTCACTTTGGGTATCTTTCATTTGTTCTTTCATTTTTTGACCAAGCTCAGTCAGTTCTGTGAGCATTTTGATTACCAGGGCTTTAAACTTTCCATCAGATAGGTTGGCTGTCTCATCATTGCTTAGCTCTCTTTCTGGAGTTTTCCTCTGTTGTTTCATTTGAGCCATATTTCTTTGTCTCAGCTGTGCTTCCTGGACTTATATGTCTATTTCCTTCACCAAATTAAGAAAGTTTCCTTTCACTATTTTTTCAAAGACATTTTTAATTTCTTGCTCTTCCTCTTCTCCTTCTGGCACCCCTAACATTTGGATGTTAGTACATTGGAGATGTCCTAGGGGCTCTTTAGTCTATCCTCATTTGGGAGTTTCTTTTTTCTTGCTGTTCTATTTTTTTTTCTTCCTTATGTTTCAAATCATTGATTTCATCTACTCTAATTTTATTTCCTGTAAATTGTTCTTTATTTCAATTAGTGTATCCTTCATTTCTGCCTGGGTCTTTTTTATGCTGTTGAGGTCCTCACTTAAGTTCCTTATGCATCCTTATAACCAGTGTTTTCAACTCTGCATCTGATAGATTGCTTATCTCCATTTTGTTCAGTTCTTTTTCTGGAGTTTTATTCTCTTATATTTGGGCCATGTTTCTTTGTCTGCTTATCCTGGCAGCCTCCCTGTGTTTGTTTCTATGTATTATGTAGAGCTGCTATGACTCCCTGTCTTGGTAGTGTGGCCTAATGTAGTAGGTGTCCTGTAGGGTTCAGTGGCATAACCTCACTTATCACCCAAGCTGGGTACTTGAGGTGCGCCCTTTGTGTGGGCTGAGTACATCCTTCTCTTGTAGTTGAGCCTTGGTTGCTGATGGGAGGGATTTATCCAGGCCAGTCAGCTGCAAGGAGTGGCTGTAGCCACTGACAACCAATCTATGCCCTTCGTGAGCATCAGCTGCGCAGGGGCCCACTCCACAGAGCAGGACTTATTTCAGCAGGGCTCTGGAGCCCTCTGAGTCCGCTGCTTGAGCATGTTGCTTGTGGAGGTGGTTGGGTGATGGTGCCCCAACATAATCTTTAGCTGTCCACTTTGTGCACAGGCTCTAGAGTCTCCTGGGTGATGCAGGCCAAGGTCAGCTACTGCCTGTGGTCTCTCTGGAGCTACTTAGCATACTATAAAGCGATCTGCAGATGGCTTCCACTTGTGCTGGGCTTGGAGGTGCCCAATCAAGGCCAGGCTTTGAACCAAGCCTGGGGCCCCACTGCTGCTAATGCTGAGCCTGGGGCCACATAGCAAGAGGAGCAAGGCATGCTGAGGCCAGATGCTGCTTCTTTGAGAAAACTTAGAAAAATCTGCAGCATAAGCCTAGACAAGTCATCCATATAGAAAAGCCTCTGGAAACAGCTTGGGTGGGGTGGAGCCTCAGGGAATCACCAGGGCAGGGTAAATAGTGTGAGCCAGGTTGACAGAGTCTCAGATATGGTACCCACCTGCCTGCTGTGTGGCTCTCTGGGGTGAAGGCTCAGAAAAGAAACTGTGGCCTCTGCCTGTAGTTCTGCCTGATATAAAGCTGTCCCCCAGCTCTCACTCTGTTGCCAGCCACTGCAGTTTCTCCCTATATGCCACTGGTGCCTTTTAAGCTGCCCTGGTGCTAGAGCTCAGAGGGAGTGAGTCTAAGTTTGTGTGTGTCCCTTTAAGAGGAACTACTTGAGAATCCAGCATTTTCTTCCAGTGACTCAGTCCTTTCTGGTGTTTAAGCCAGAAGTTATAGGGAGTTAACTTTGCTGGCACTGGAACCCTGGTCTGGGGGGCCTGGGGTGGAGCTAGGACCCCTCACTCCCGAGATATCCCTCCTGATTTTTATCCACCACACGTGGGTGTGGGGCCAGTCTGCTCTGCATCTTTGTCCCTCTTACCAGTCTGGATGGATGTCGTTTCTTCTTTAATTCTGTACTTGTCAGACTTCCATTCAACTCGATTTCTCAAGAAATCAAGTTGAGTGATGGTTCTGAGTGATGGTTGTTTTATAGTTTAGTTGTAATTTTGATGTGGTTGTGTGAGGAGGCGAGCCATGTTTACTTATGCCTCCATCTTGACCAGAAGAGCAACATGAATATTTACATGTTACAAAATATATCACAAAAAGAAAGTAACCAGCAATGAGCAAAATAAGAAAACATTATCACATGTTTTTAATGTGCTAGTTGCTTTACATATACATACCATCTTCCCTTGGTATTCCTTGGGGATTGGTTCCAGTACACCCTGAGGATACAATAATCCTCTGATGCACATGTTCCTTATATAAAATGGTGTAGTATATAATCTCTGCATATTCTCCTGTACACTTTAAATCATCTCTAGATTATTTATAATTCTATTATAAATAATTAAGTGCGGTGTAAATTGGTAAACTGTATTCTTTAGGGAACAAGAGAAAGCCTGTTTGTGTTCAGTGCAGATGTGGTGATCTAGGCTTAACTGCATAGTACATGTTAGCAATAACATTACATTTTCCCCCCAATACTTTTGATCTACAGGCACAGAACTCATGAATACAAGGCCAACTGTATTGCTTAATCTTCATAAATCCTCTGAGAAATACAAAGTTTTAACCATATCACATAGAAAGACAAGATTGAGGGAGACTTAGAGATGTCATTGTTCGGCTAATAAGAGCTGAGGGTGTGTTCGAACTCAAACCTTTCTGATTTCAAAGGGGTTTTATTTTTCTCCTTCACCAAACCTTGCTGCTTCCAATTAGGGGTCATTTTACGCAATACTTAAAGCATAAGTACAACTTTGCTTTTAATGTTCATCAGCAATTACCTGAAATGTCCATAAGGTGGAGATGTTGGGTGAAACTAGGCTTTTCTCTTTGTAAAACAGTGCTACCACTAAGTGGAATATTTAAATAGATGAATTTTATTTTGCAGTAGTGACATTTTCTTTAGCAATTGGTTATATAGCCAGCTAGAATGTTTTAAATGTCATTTAATGTTCCTCTGTCATAATAGTAATTAATACGGCTTTTTATGTACCAGATAGTATTCTGGACACTTTATATAAATGAATTCATTTAAAATCTCCTCAACAAATAATACTGAGGTGTTTGCTATTATAATCTCCATTTTTAAAAATGAGGAAATGAGCACAGAGGTAATTAATAACTTATTCAGAGTGGCACAGCTAATAAATGATAGAGCTGGAATTTAAACATAGACAGTTATTGCTCTCTTTTTTTGAAAAAAGGATACAGGTTTGTTTTACCAGTGTGATTTTGATTAGGTAAGTTTTACCTGTACATAAGCTTAAGAACACCATCTATTTTGTGTTCTCACTAGCTGAATGTCTTTTGGACTGTATGGCTTGTTATTTCCAAATTAACATGTATATGGAGAAAAACAAAGATACTCTGTTATAAAATCCTAATGATGAATTAAAATATTAGTGGCCATAATTTCATTATTAGTTAGAGAAAACATCTGAGATCCTCTCTTGGGAGCTCAGATTTTCTTACCCACACTCCTATGTTTCATGTTATATATCTTAAATTGTCCACATTTCTTCTTGGAAATATTGACCTCAGGAAATGCCTTATTTATTACTCTATGACATATCTTAGGCATTTAATAAAAAAACGAAACAATCCAATAAAAGTATATTTTTTTTAGTTGCAGAGCTTGAAGTGAAAACCAGAGAAAAATTAGAAGCTGCGAAGAAAAAAACAAGCTTTGAAATTGCAGAGCTTAAGGAGAGATTAAAAGCAAGCCGTGAAACTATAAATTGTTTAAAAAATGAAATCAGGAAACTCGAAGAAGATGACCAGACAAAAGAGATATAAACAGTTCTGAAGAGAACGCGACAGGAAGCTAAACTGAAAATAAGGTGGACTTCAGAGGAGGGATGGACTGTAAGCGCCTCCTAGAAGAACTGTGTATGTAGTTGTTGGCACAGGTTTCTCAGCAACGAGGTCAAAGTAGCTGCTGTGCTTTTTAAGCAGTATGTAATGTAAAATATATGTCTAAAATAAACATGGATGCTGTGTAGGCATTTTTATCAACCCATTTTAGGGTAATTCTATGATGTTAAGCACAATTAAAAATTTTTGATTACATTGTATGTATAGCTCCTTTTGACAGGCATCAAAAATGCATTATAAATTATAACTTCCGTTTTCTACTTCCCTGGTAGTTAGAGTTAGTGGTAAGATTAATGTGTATATTTAATTTCTTAACTTCTTAACTTTCTTCATCCTGATTCTCTTGTATCTGAGGTGCCAGTACCCACCCAGTAAATACTCAGTAAATGTAGTTTACTGATCCTGTTCCTGCCTCGTGAGATGGTTCTTGCTTTCCCTTTTCACTTTGATGCACCTGGAACTGTTTCATTACAATTAATGTATCTCCATACTGTCGTGATCACATGTCTGTTACTGGCATCCATTGTAGTATACAGAAACTCTTTGATGGCAAAGATCATATCTTGTATTGTTCTGCCTTGATACTATAGTGTCATTGGTTTTCACATAGAAAAACTTAATCTTTCCTGCATGTTCCAAAAACACATAGGAAACACCTGTGCACCAGCTTCACCCACTACCCCTAATTTGTCTATGTTTCTCAGCCTCTCCTGTTCAAATCCACATGGTGAGCCCTCCACTTTTGGCCTCACCTACTATAATTCAAACACTTAATGTACTTAATGTTTAAGGCCATGTTGGCTGAACCCTCTTGGCAACCTAGGGACAACAGTAGATAGGAAAGTATTTTGGAAACCACGTAACATTAACATAAATTATAAAGGCCCTAAAAATGCAACCATGCCTTTGCGTAATGTAGGGAATCTGTGTTCTCTAGAGTTATAACTAGCCACTCTAGAACTTTAAGACACCTTTCTCTATCTGCAGTGGTGGATTGGTTACTTTTCGCTTGGTCACTTTATTTTTTAAGTTGTGATGTTTAGAAGCATGGCGGCTGTGCAAAGGTCACTGGTCTGAAGTTTCTGCCAGAGGCCCTCTGGGGGTTGGGGATAACACTTCTAATTGTGCTGGCATCGTTCAGCTTTCTTCTCTCTCTTACCCGAGTGCCTGCAGTGTAGGGTCGGGCCTCAGGATGGATCAGAAAAACTACTGGGGAAAGAGTCTCATTCCTGAATCTGCACATCAGTTAGTGAATACAAGAGTTCAAAATCTGTCGTCATGGCTCCAGTCTTACCCTCTGTCAGCTCTTATTTCTGTGTTGGCTTTAATCTAAGTAGGCTCCCGTGATTATGCAGAGAAACTACTTACAACTCAATAATAAAAGGACAACCCAATTTTAAAATGGGCAAAGGATTGAATAGACATTTTTCCAAAGAAATGCAAGTGGCCAATAAACACAGGAGGACATGCTCAACATGATGAATCATTAAAAAAAGGCAAACCAGAATCACAAGATGCTACTTCACACCCATGAGGATGGCCATAATTTTAAAACGATAAATTGGTGAGGATGTGTAGCACTTGGAACCCTCATATGTTGCTGGTGGGAATGTGAAATGGGTACAGCTACTTGGAAAAACAGTTTGGCAATTCCTCAAAAAGCTAAGCTTAGTTACCCTGATGACCCAGCAGTTCCACTTGTAGGTGTGCACCCAAGAAAATGAAAACATTTTTACACAGAAACTTGCACATGAATGTTTATGGCAGGCTTCTGGATAATAAGCAAAAAAGATACAACCCAAGTATCTGTCAACTGATGAATAAATAAAATGTAGGATAGTCATACCGTGGAAATAAGTAGATTCAGCTACAACATGAATGAACCTGGAAAACAAATTTAAGAAGCCAGATGACACAAAAGCCACATTATATGGCTCCATTTATATGAAATGTTCAGAATGAGCAATTCCATGAGAATAAAAAGTTGATGCCAGGGGATGGGGCAAAGGAGATTTCTGTGTGGGGTGGCGAAATGTTCTGGAATTGGTGGAGGTGATTGCACAATCTTGTGAATCTACCAGGAACACTGAGCTGCATATTTTAAAAGTGGTTGTAATACTATTGAATTTTATCTCAAAAGATTTTATATTTTTGGTTGAATTTTATTCTTTAAATATGTTTTTCTATTTTTTCCATTACAATTTATCCCCCTTATTCCCCCCTTCCCCCAGCAATCACAGCACTGCTGTCCATGTCCTTGAGTCCTTTTTCCTTTTTGCTCTATCCCTCCACCCCCTCACCTCCCCGCCACTAGCTCTCATCTGCTCTCCATCTAGGAGTCTGTCCCCATTTTCCTTCTTAGTTCAGTTTGCTCATTAGATTCCACATACGAGTGAAATCAAATGGTATTTCTCTTTCTCTGACTGGCTTATTTCACTTAGCATAATGTTCTCCAGGTCCATTTATACTGTCACAGAGGGTAAAATTTCTTCCTTTTTTCAGTGAAGTAGTAGTCCATTGTATAAATGTTCCATAGTTGTTTTATCCACTCATCTAAGGATGGACATTTGTGCTTTCATGATTGGTGATTGTAAATAACACTGCAGTGAACATGGGGGTGCTTATTTTTTTCGATAGTGTTTTGAGTTTCTTCGGATATATTCCCAGAAGTGGGATCGCTGGGTCAAAAGGCAGATCCATTTTTAATTTTTTGAGGTATCTTCATACTGCTTCCCATAGTGGCTGCAGCAGTCTGCATTCCCACGAACAGTGCACTAGGGTTCCCTTTTCTCCACATTGTCGCCAGCACTTGTTTGTTGATTTATTGATGATAGCCATTCTGGCAGGTGTTTTTATCACATAGATTGCCTCTTCTTTTCTGTGGGGGAGGGGAATGAAGAGGGCCCATGTGACATGATCTCATTGGTGTTGACCAGAACATTCCAGACGTTGGTTGAGATGACATTTCTGGTGAAGGTTGACACTGCAATTAGGTCATGGGGCTTTTAGCACAAGTGATGCCCTTTGGAGCCTGTGATTTTTCTCTTTAACACCCACAGATCAATATAAAAGTCAATAAAAAAATGAGCAAAGAGTATGATCAAGTAATTCACAGAAGGAAAATACAAATGGTGGTCCATAAACATGTGATGATGTGTGAACTTAGTAATCAGGGAAATGCAAGTTAACACAAGACCACTTCTCATTCATTGTAGAGACAACACTTAAAGATTTCTAATACACAAAAAGTGAAGGGAAATTGATACTCATACATTGTTGGCGTGCATTTAAGATTAACATCAATTTAATATTACCAGCACTTTAACCTATCATTTAACCAAATAATTGTACTGCTAAGAAACATTCTCATATATATAAGGATGTCCTTTGCTTGTTTGTAATAGTGAAAAACTGGAGATAAACTAAGCTATGTATACAATTTAATGTTGATTCTTGGAAAAGTTATTAACAGGAGTTACTTTTGAGGAAAACAGATTTTGGAGTGGGTGTTGGGGAAGATGGGCAAAGGGTTAACAAAACCTCTTCCCTTTCTGGATGAGAATCTGAACCTTGGTTAACTTTCTAGTTCTCTTCTGCAGACAACTTGACAAGAATAGTGCGTCAACCATGCCGCTAGGCAGCACTGCACCTGGGAGAGAACACCCCAGTTCCGGAAACTACTCTGTAGTGACAGAGAAGCACCAGTCCCTGGCAGGGAGTCACAGCTTTGGACTTTGCTGAATGCTGTGGCTCTGGTAACGGGTGTGTCTCTCAAAGAAACACTGGAAGCTATCTGTCCGTGTGAAGTTGTTACAAGAGACCCTGGTTCCTGTAGGGAACAAGGCCCAGCTCCCTTGAATCTACGTGGCACTGCAGAGGGGACGGCCACAGGGACTGCTAGGAGCCCTGATGGCCCTCTGTGCTGCCTGTGCTGCACCACAGGGAGCATCCACGTGCGGGCTGCAGCCGAGCTGTGAGTCGGTGTGCAATTAAACCTAAGAAGACCTCCCCCGTGGGGCATAATTGGAAGAACTTGCACGGCAAATGGGAAACAAATGTGTAAATTAAAAGATTAGTTTATACACACCCTCCATTTCAACCTGTAGAATCTTAAATTTTAAATATACCCTGCACCCTCCCTTCTTTTTTGTTGGTGTTAACATATTTCCTTCCTCCCAGTTCCAAATGTTCCTTTCCCCACTTCCAAGTAAGTTTACCTTCCTCTGAACTACCATTGCATCTTGCCTGCCTCTCTTTTGTGCTGTAGTTCACTCACCTGAAGAGGGACAAATAGAAGCCAAGATCTCCTGGGTCCAGCTGGGAACTATGATGTTAATCCTATATCCCTATTATCATTTTTCAGACTCTTCAGTCTTGGTGAAAGAGGGGGAGTTAGTTTAGCTTATCTTGATCATTTATATGTAAAGCACTGTGCATGTCTAGCATACAGGAAATGCTCAGTAAATGTTAGCTGGCGTTATACTGTTCTGTCTCTGAGCTTCCCCTACCTGCCCTGGGTCTATTCCACACTGAGGCGCTGTGACTCAGGTTGAGATCTTGACTTTTCCTCCATCTACCCTAGCCTTCCCAGGGCTAGGCACAGAGTCTTGCCCAGCAGCGTCCCAAGATATCACAAATAAGTACAAATAAATCAAAGGTGAAAACCTGCGGGATTTGGCCTGAAATAGGGGCATTCATGTGGGTCTATTTATGCTCGAGTTGTTCCTATACTGAAGACTTGAAGAGACCAGACACATTTATAGTAAGTTTCTATTGAGGTTTGATGACCAGAACTAAGCTATTTTCATATCTCTAAAAACAATCTAGCCCTGACCAGTGTGGCTCAGTTAGTTGGGCGTCATCCTACAAAGTGAAAGTTTGCCAGTTCGATTCCTGGTCAGGACACACACCCGGGTTCTGACCCCGGGTGGGTTCAGCCCCAGGTCTGAGCACATAGGAGAGGCAACTATCGATGCTTCTCTCTCATCAATGTTTCTGTCTCTCTATTTCTCCCTCCCTTCCCCTCTCTAAATTAATTAATTAAAAAACCCTCTAAAGTCCCAGGACGGCCCTGGCCAATCTTCTAGGATAGACATTTTCTGAAGAGAGCCAGGCAGTGCATGTTTGAGGCTTTGTGAGCTGCACATTCTCTGCCACTGTTCCTCAACTCCACTACTGTAGCCTGAAAGCAGCCATTCCTAAACAATGAGCACTGTGCTATGTATTTATTTAATAACACTGAAATTTGAATGTTATAATTTTCACATCACAAAATATTTCCCTCTGATTTTTTCAAACAATGAAAAATGTAAAAAGAAAATCCTTGGTTCACAGGCCACATACAGCCAGGTGGAGGGCCAGACACAGACCCAGGACCATATAGTTTGCTGA